TTTTTTTGAGACAGAGTCTCACTCTGTCACTTGGGCTAGAGTGCAGCGGTGCAATCTCAGCTCACTACAACCTCTGCCTTCTGGGTTCAAGTGATTCTCCTGCCTCAGCCTCCAGAGTAGCTGGGATTACAGGCGCCTGATACCACGCCCAGATAATTTTTTTTGTATTTTTAGTAGAGTCGGGGTTTCGCCATGTTGGCCAGGCTGCTTTCCAATTCCTGACCTCAGGTGATCCGCCCACCTTGGCCTCACAAAGTGCTGGGATTACAGGTGTGAGCCACTGCCCCTGGCCTATTTCTACTTTTTCTGCCTCCTGTTTTTGCAAATAAAATATTCCAGGAATGCAGCAGTACTCGCTTGTTTACGTACTGCCCATGCTGCTTTCCTGACATAACAGCATAGTTGAAGAACTTTCACGGAAATGATGACTCACGGAGCCTGGAATATCTACCATCCAGCCCCCTTTACAGAACGAGTTTGGCAACTCCTGGTATTCCCACATATAGTTCAGACAGGGGATGAGGTACGGGGTGGGAGAGGGTACACCATGAGGTTTGTTTTACAAAAGATGACAAAGCGAAGCGAACACCAGAACATAAAATATGTGAAATAGTCACCGTGTGCTAGTTCAGGGCACTACTGACTGCACAAGGTGGTCCTGTAAGATTATAATGGAGTTTTGGGGTTTTCTTGTTTTTTTTTCTTGAGACAGTCTCCCTCTGTCACCCAGGCTGGAGTCCAATGGCACAATCTTGGCTCACTGCAGGCTGGACTTCCTGGGTTCAAGTGATTCTTGTGCCTCGGCCTCCCAAGTAACTGGAATTACATGTGTGTGCCACCACACCCAGCATACTTTTGCATTTTTAGTAGAAAGGGATTTCCCGACGTTGGCCAGGCTGGTCTTGAAACTCCTGACCTCAAGTGATCCACCTACATCGGCCTCCCAAAGTGCTGTGATTACAGGCATGAGCCACTGCAGCTGGCCTTATACCGTATTTTTACAGTGCCTTTTCTATGGTTATATACACAAGTACTTACCATTGTGTTCAGCTGCCTGCAGTATTCAGGACAGTCACATGCTGTGCAGGTGGGCAGCCTCGGGGCAGGCTACGTCATCTAGCCTAGGTGTATAGTAGGCTGTGCCATCTAGGTTTACGTAAGTGCACTCTTTTGCACAAAGACAAAGTTATCTAACGACCATTTCTCGGAATGTATCCCCATTGGTAAGTGACACATGACTGTATCAGAGAGTTTCAGGGTCTCGGGCTGGGGGGCAGCCAGAAGGCCTTCCCAGAAGAGGAAGTAACTTCAGGTCTGAAGGGTAAGTTGAAGGCTGCCAGGAATCAAATGGGCCAATGTCTCAGGCGTGTGAGAACTAAGCATGCAAAGGCACAGGTGTTCCTAGAACGTGCGTCTGAAGGAAAGAAGGGAGAAAGGGCAGAGGGCCTCGTGCCACTCGAGGGCATTCGCCTCCCAGGGTCATCCTCTGCGGGGATTGCCGGGGCCTCACCTTGACCACGAGTTTCTGCCCCAGCTGATTCTTGCCATCCTGTCCGACGGGGTCAAGAATCACACAGTAGTTGCGGGGGCCCAGGGTGGTGATGGGCACAACCCCCAGCACCTCCTCGTGGACATCTGGCACGTGGGCCTCCGTGTCCTGCACGGTCACCAGCCACTCCTCCCCAGTGCGGCGGGACACCCCCCTGAAGTCCTGGAAGTTCCGCCGAGCCCGGAGGTGCAGGGCTGTCTGCAGAGCAAGATTTGGGTTTTTGAGTGACCTGCCTCCAACTTCAGGGGATCTGTGAGCCTCATTAACCACCAAATGCTCCCAGGTCTCAGGGGAAATTTCTACCAATCGAGGGCTTTTTAAAATTTTTTGGTTTTGAGTCGGAGTTTCATTCTTGTTGCCTAGGCGGGAGTGCAATGGTGTGATTTTGGCTCACTGCAACCTCCACCTCCTGGGTTCAAGCGATTCTCCTGCCTCAGCCTCCGGAGTATCTGGGATTACAGGCACGTACAACCACATCTGGCTAATTTTTGTATTTTTAGTAGACATAGGGTTTTGCCATGTTGGCCAATCTGGTCTCAAACATCTGACTTCAGGTGATCCACCCATCTTGGCCTCCCCAAGTGTTAGGATTATAGGCGTCAGCCACTGCACCCAGCCAGCCTTTTTTTTTTTTTTGAGACAGAGTCTTGCTCTGTCTCCCAGGCTAGAGTGTAGTGGCATGACCATGGCTCACTGCAACCTCTGCCTCCCAGGTTCAAGTGATTCTCCTGCCTCAGCCTCTGGAGTAGCTGGGACTACAGGCATGCTCTACTACACCCAACTTGTTTTAAAATTTTTTGTAGAGGTAAGTTCTCCCTATGTTGCCCAGGCTGGTCTCAGACTTCTGGTCTCAAGTGATTCTCCCACGTCAGCCTTCCAAATTGCTGAGATTACAGATATGAGCCACTTCGCCTGGCCCAGGAAGGACTATTTCACCCTTCAGATGATCCAGAATACTCCTCAGTGATCTCTGAATTTTTTTAAGTGATCCTAAAATTATTGCTTCTCTTTTACTCTCATGCCATCCTGCCACTATTCTCTGCCTCTCGGAAGGTTCCCTAGCCCCAGGTCCCTTAAACCACAGCCCCCAGAGCACCAACCTTTTCCGTAAGGATCACGGCATCCACCAAATCCAGGACTTCCTCAAACACCCCTGGGAGGTACGCCCCCACTGTGGTGACCAGCCATTCTTCCCCTGGGCCGAGAGTGGAGGGTAAGTGACGAGGGTCCACCAGCCTGCTCCCCACCTGCCTCTCCCACAGCCTAGACTCAGGGGATTAGCAGATTTCATTGGCAAAGGGACGCCACTGGCCCAGGCTCAAGGTCCTGACTACAGTCCTCTTATTCACTCTTTTGAAGCCAGAGGAAAACAAGCTGCCACTCCAGTTGAATTTTAAAATACTTTTTTTTTTTTTTTTTTGATGGAGTCTCCTTCTGTCACCCAGGCTGTGATCTCAGCTCACTGCAAGCTCAGCCTCCTGAGTCGAACTGATTCTCAAGCCTCGGCCTCTTGAGTAGCTGGAATTACAGGCACATGCTACCATGCCTGGCTAATATTTGCATTTTTTGGACAGATGGGGTTTCACCATGTTGCCCAAGCTGGTCTCAAACTCTCGGCCACAAGTGATCCACCCACCTCGGCCTCCCAAGGTGCTGGGATTCCAGGCGTGAGCCACCGCACCTAAAAGCCTTCCTGAGGCCCAAGTTGCTGCTATGCTGACAGCGTGCTTTGCCTTCTCTAAGCTCCAAAGACCAACTTTTATCCTCCTAAAACAGGCAGCAGAACTGCCTCTGGTAGAGCTGTGGATGTCCTTGGGTTTATTGGAGAAGCCAGAGTGCCTGGATGCAGGTCCCAGCCTCGCCCTGCCTGGCCACAACCCAGGGCAAGCAGCCAGCGTTCTGTGTCCCAGTTTTGTTATACAGAAAGTGGGAATGGCAGTGGCTTGAGGTAGTACCTCTGTTGCCCAGGATGGAGGGCAGTGGTGCAATCACAGCTCACTGCGGCCTCCACCTCCTAGGCTCAAGCAATCCTCCCTCTTCAGCCTTCCAAGTAGCTGGGACTACAGACATATGCCAAAATGCCTGGCTAATTTTAAAATTATTTGTAGAGACGGGGTCTCACTGTGTTGCTCAAGCTGGTTTTGAGCTCCTGGGCTCAGGCAATCCACCACCTAGGCAAAGTGCTGAGATGACAGGTGTGAGACACCGTACCTGCTGGCCCACATTTGTCAACTGTATTTAAACATGTGCTTTGTTGATCCAGAATCAGATAAGACATGGCTACCGCCCATAGCTCACTGTGAAGGTGGGGGAAGGAAAAGCTACGTCAGGCCCCATGATCATTTTCCAGCCCAAATGGAAACAGCATGAAGCGGGGGTGGGGAAAGAATGGCAGTGGGCGGCCCTCAACAGCTTTCAAAAGATACCAGGAAAGCACCTCTCTGGGGCTACAGGAGGCTTTCCTTAAATTTTCTATGTTTTCCCTGCAGTGGGGGCCCCTCCTGCCCACCTGCTCTCATTGCCCCTCAGTGCCCCACCTGTCACCCTTTCCTTGCCGTCCCGGTCCCAGCACTCTTTGCGGGCCCTCAGCTGCAGAGCCTGGTTCTGCCTGATGATGGTGGCCTGAATGATCTCCACGACCTCCACTTCCTTCCGGGGGATGTACGTGCCTGGGGAGGGAAGAAGACGTGGAAGGTGATGGTCAGAAGGTATTGGGGCTATGGCAGGAAGGCAGGGAGCCCCTGACCCCGACTTAGGCTCCGCGGAGACAGAACTTACCAGGTCCCTCGAAGAGCCACTCGTCTCCGGCCACCACTTTGTCTCCATCTTTATCCTCAAAATCGAGCAGTGCCTTCAGATGGAGGGCAGTGTTGGGCAGAACCACCTGCAGGGGTGTGATGTCCTAGTGGGGAGGAAGGTGGGGACATAGAACAGTCAGTGCTGTGACCCCAGTAGGGCCACACCTGATGCTCTGGAGGCAGGTCCACAGCATCCATCTCTGCATGTCCTGAAGTAGGACCGGGGTAGAGGCCAGGCGTGGTGGCTCTCGCCTGTCATCCCAGCACTTTGGGAGGCTGAGGTAGGAGAATCACTTGAGCTCAGACATTCAAGACCAGCCTGGACAACATAGCAAGACCCCATCTCTTAAAAAAAAAAAAAATTTAGCCAGGCATGGTGGTCCACACCTGTAGTCCCAGCTACTTGGGAGGCTGAGGCAGGAGGATCACTTGAGCCCAGGAGGTTAAAGCTTCAGTGAGCTACGACTGTACCATTGCACTCCAGTCTGTCTCTCTTGAGACAGAGCAAGACCTTGTCTCAAAAAAGATAAAAGATCAGGAGACATAACCAAGGTCACACAGCTAGTGAGAAACAATCAAGACTTGAACTCTGGTCTTGAGTGAAGCCTGCCCTGCGCCTGACTCTGATGAGCCTGGTCCCAGGCTGGAGGAGCGGGCAGAGCGACTCCACTCCACCCACTGGCCGAACACCAGCTAGAGAGCAGGGTGGAGGCTTGCCGCTCTGAGCGCCTTTCCCTACAGGGCACCCTGGTTGTGGTGGCGAGAACATATCCCGTCTTCATGAAGTTTAAATTCCAGCAGGGTGATAACACACAGATGTCAACCATTCTGTCCCAGCAGACTACAGATACTCCCAGGGTGAGAGGTTCTTCAGGTGTTCAGATGAAGGAGAAGTTAGAGAGGCCCTTTGAATTGAAACTGGGCTCAAAGGAAAAGCTGGCTTCTTTTGGGGGGAAGGGGGACAGGGTCTCTCTGTGTGATCCAGATCCAGGCTGGACTGCAGTGGTATAACCATGGCTCACTGCAGCCTCAACCTTCCAGGCTCATGTGATCCTCCCGCCTCAGCCTCCTGAGTAGCTGGGATTACAAGTGTGTGTTACTACTTCCAGCTAATTTTTTTTTTTTTTTTTTTTTGAGACAGAGTCTTGCTTTGTCACCCAGGCTGGAGTGCAGTAGCATGATACCAGCTCACTGCAACTTCTGCCTCCAGGTTCAAGGGATTCTCATGCCTCAGCCTCCTGAGTAGCTGAGATTACAAGTGCACGCCACCACATCTGGCTAATTGTTGTATGTTTAGTAGCGATGGGGTTTCGCCATGTTGGCCAGGCTGGTCTTGAATTCCTGACCTCAAGTATTCTGCCCACCTCAGCCTCCCAAAGTGCTGGGATTACAGGCATAAGCCACTGTGCCCGGCCGAATGTGTTCTTTAAAATGAAAGCTTAGAGGGCATGGTGGCTCACGCCTCTAATCCCAGAATTTTGGGAGAACAAGGTAGAAGGATCGTTTGAGTGCAGGAGGTCGAGGCTGAGTGAGCTCTGATCATTCCACTGCACTCCGGTCTAGGCAACAGGAGGAGATCCAGTCTCAATTAAAAAAAATTTTAAAAGTACAAAAATCCCTATGTACTCTTCACTTGGATTCCTTAAGGGGTATCATCTTAATCATTCTCCATTTTCTCTCTACACACACACTTCTTCCCCAAAACTGTCTGCACCTAAGTGGACATGAATGTCTAAAAGCTCCCCAGGTCCTGCCATTATGCATTCAGGATCAAGTGGCACAGGTTAGTAAAGTCAGTAAAAAAGCATTGAATGGCCAGAAGGTAAAGATGGGAGAACAGGTAAGGGAATGAAGGTGGGACGCTCACCTGCTCAGGCCCAGGCCTGAGGCCAAGGGAGACAAGAGGCTGGCTGCAGGTTCCGGCCTGTGACGGCTTCTCCTAGAACAGGCACGGCCTAGGCCTGGGCTTGTCACTGCTGCTTTGGCACTGCCCACCAGTGTCTGGCACTGGGTGAATGAAGTGCTTAACCTTGGCACATGTTATTTAATGCCAGACTGGCTGGGCACTTCAGGCAGGCACTGGAGCCTGGGAAATTAGTGGATGAGATGGGCTGGCAGTTCTCAGAAAAGAGGCAAGTGTGTTTGAGGCATGTGTGCAGGACGGGGGCGGCTGGAGGTGAGTGGAGGTACAGTGAGTCAATTCCACCCTTGGTGACAGCCGGCAAGTGTCTCTGCCCACCCCTCCCACTGCCCTGGTTTGTTTTCCATTTAGTATAGGCCGGGTACAGTGGCTCATGCCTGTAATTCCAGCACTTTGGGAGGCCAAGGCAGGCGGATCACCTGAGGTCAGGAGTTTGAGACCAGCCTGGCCAACATGATGAAACCCTGTCCCTACCAAAACTACAGAAATTTGCCGGGTGTGGTGGCAGGTGCCTGTAATCCCAGTTACTCGGGAGGACTGGGGAGGCTGAGGCAGGAGAATCGCTTGAACCCAGGAGGCGGAGGTTGCAGGTAGCCGAGATCATGCCATTGCACTCCAGCCTGGGTGACAAGAGCGAACCGCTGCCTTAAAAAAAAAAAAAAATTAACAGCATCTAGAAAAAAATGTTTAAAGAAAAGGCAGTCCAGAGCCCAAGGCAAGTGGAGCATAGGTAGGGGAGGGCAGAGGGAGTGAGGAAGCCAGGTACCTTTTCCAGCACCTCCCCTGGGTACAGGGGGAAAGGGTCCTGGGCCAGCCTGATCTCGAGGTCAGCGTGGCGAAGCCGAACTTGCCCTGTGACATCAAACAGCACCGAGCCCTGGGCATCCCGCGACACAGGGTTGGCCACTGTGCAGTAGTGGCGTGGGGGGACGGTCACCATGCGCATGGGGGCAAACAGCACCCTGCAGGAAGATGAGAAGAGGTGTGAGGCCTGAGGACTTGGGACCAGGTCTCCACTACCACAGGAGACACCAAATGAGAGAAACCTATCACCCAAGCGAGGGCCACTCCTGCTTGGGAACAGGGAGGAGGAAAAGGATGATCACGCCAGCCAGACCCATGGGCCCCCACAGCCCTGAGTCTCCCCAACACCTACCTCTCGTTGTCCTGCCGGATGTAGGTCTTTGGCCCAACCTCCACATGGGACACGTTGCTGTTCTGGTCCAGCACGTGGATGTAGTGGTATGGGGGGATGCGGATGATGAACTCTTCAGTTGCCATGGTGACTCCTAAGCCCAGAGCTCACCAGAAGATGACTGGCAGGTAAGGGAGAGGACACAGGATGAGCCTGGGGAGCCTGGGCTGGGGCAGGCATGAGTCTGGAGAGAGGCCCTTGGTGGGATACGGCCTCACCTCCTCCAGCCAGGCCACCGCACCCTTTCCTGTCCATATCCGCATGTTCCCCGTCTTCACTCCACCCAAGATGACACAGCCTATCCTGACCATACCTTTGCCAAGAACTGCTTGATGCAGTGAGCCACAGAGGCTCAGGCTTCCTTGCCCATTCCGTTCCCTCACTCCCATCAACCACTTCACCTACACTGCTACCAGCACTGCAAAGGGCTTCAGATCAAGGCACTCCCAGTCCCTAAGGTGGAGAAATACAGCAAGCTGGGAGAGTGGGGAGCCATGGAGGCAGTGACGTGGCCTTGTCCAGCACTTAACAGGCAGTGGCTCTGAGGAGCTGTCTGGCTCCTCTGGGGGCAGGGGCAGGCTTTGAGAATCCTGAGGCCCTGGCTGTATTCAAACATCAGCCCATAGCCAAAGAATATCTGTATGCCTCAGGTAGTGCAGTGCCTAGGATTCAGCCATAACAGACACAAGGAAATGTTTGCATGAGCTGTGTCTACACCCCCGCCCCTGTTCCTACACTCTCAGTAATCCTGGGATGAATATGAAGACCTGGCCCACCGCTCGTGAAAGGGATCCCAGATGGAACTGAGGCTTCCACAGGACCAACTGCATTAGAAACACTGCAAATCGCTCTCACCCCTTCACCCCCAGTTCTCTCACCCTCAGCTCCCGCAGTTGTGAGCAAGGGTGGGGTGGAGAGGAAGGAGAAGGGGGATAATGATCATATTTCACCCATCCCATCCATCTGCTTCTGAATCCTGAGTGGAGTGCCACACACCCTACCTAAGCCCCATCCCTGCCCCCAGCACCCCTCGGACTTTGGACATGTCCCTTTGAGTCACACAAATGGAACCATTTACTAGGTGCTCCAGAGCCTCATCCTTAAGAGACTCATGTCAGGCTTCTCTATTTTTTGAGACAGGGTCTCATTCTGTTGCTCAGGCTAGAGTGCAGTGGTACAATCATAGCTCACAAAAGCCACAAACTCCTGGCCTCAAGCAATCCTCTAGCCTCAGCCTCCTGAATAGCTAAGACTACAGGTGCACGCCACCATGTCTTTTTTTTTTTTTGTAGAGATGAGGTCTCATTATGTTGCCCAGGCTCGTCTCGAACTCCTGGCCTGCTCACCTCTGCCTACCAAAGTACTGGGATTACAGGTGTGAGCCACTGCACCCAGCTGATGAGGAGGCTCTTTTGTCTGGTTGTGGCCTCAAAAATATCTGGCCAGGTGCAGTGCCACATCCCTATAATCCCAGCATTATGGGAGGCAGAGCGAGACTGTCACAAAAAAAGTGGCTTTTCATCAGTTCCACCATCTGCCCAGCCTCCCACCCCAGGTGAGAAATGCAAGGGAAGAAGGGAGTGACCTGGCCTAGGAAAAACAGGCAGGAGCCATGAATTACAGAAGAAAGGCTGGATACAGCCCAAGAGAAGAGTTATACTTGAGTCCTACAATCCGTAAAATTTCAACTTTTTGTTTAGAAATTGTGAATCTTCACAAAATCCCAATTCCTGCTTCACTTGAAGAATTAGAAGACCAGCAACACAGCCTACAGTCAAGCCTCAGCCGCCCCTTCAGATGGAACACAAGCTTCCCCACCTACCACAGTCCCCATCACCCCACACTGCCTTACGGCCACACCATTGCACTCCCCCACTTGTTGAAAAACCCTTTAACTCAGCAGTGTCCAATGGAAACTTCTACAATGATGGAAATATTCTAAATCTGTGCTGTCTTTGGACTAACCACATCCACATGTGGCTCCTGAACACTTAAAATGTGGCTAGCGGCTGGGCACTGTGGCTCACAGCATTTTGGGAGGCTGGGGCAGGTGGATCATCTGAGGTCGGGAGTTTGAGACCAGCCTGGTCAACATGATGAAACCCTGTCTCTACTAAAAATACAAAAATTAGCTGGGCATGGTGGCATACACCTGTAATCCCAGCTACTCGGGAGGCTGAGGCAGGAGAATTGCTTGAACCCCGGAGGCAGAGGTTGCTGTGAGCAGAGATCTCATCATTGCACTCTGGCTCTGGAAGACAAAGCAATACTCCATCTTGGAAAAAATAAAATGTGGCTGGTGCATCTGAGGAACTAAATTTTTAAATTATTTTTTGAGACAAGGTCTTGTTCTGTTGACCAGGCAGGAGTACAGTGGCACAATCATGGCTCACTGCAGCCTCAACCTCCAGCCTCAAGCGATCCTCCCACCTCAGCCTTCCAATTAGCTGGGATTACAGATATATGCCACCAGGCCTAGCAATATTTTTTTTTTTTTTTTCCTGCAGAGATGAGGTTCTGCTATGTTGCCTAGGCTGGTCTCGAACTGCTGGGCTCAAGCAATCCTCCTGCCTCAGCTTCCTAAAGTGCTGGGATTAGAGGTGTGAGCTACTACACTCAGGTGATTTTAATTTAAATTGCCAAACATGTCTGGTTGATCCCATATTGGACAATGGAGTTCTAAATAGTTGAGCCCCAGATAGGGACAATGAATCCTTCAAGGCCACACAGCAAGTTAGTGGTACTGTTGGGACTAGAACCCTGGTGGAACGCCTGGTCCTGTCTTTCTAGAGAGACATCATGGTCCCGTCATTGGGGCACCCATTCTGAACTGAACTGCCAAGGCTTACAAATCTGATGGGCTGTTTTCATGTTTTTATATTGTTTCCTTACTGCCTTGCCTCATTTTGAAAGAGGTTACAGTTTGGATGTTTTCCTGGCACACTCCACATCACAGGTAGGTTATTCTGCTGCTCATTCTTTCATCTTACAACTTTTTATGAGATCTGAACTGAATACTTTTCTGTTGCTCATTTTTGTTCAAAGTTACTTTCCCCTCATTTCTAGGAGGGTAGCTTGTCTAACAATCAGAGTTGCTACTTTTTTTTTTTTTTTTCTGAGACAAGTCTTCTGTCGCCCGGGCTGGAGTGTGGTGGCATGATCTCAGCTCACTGCAACCTCCACCTCCTGGGTTCAAGCGATTCTCTTGCCTCAGCACCCCCTAGTAGGTTGGACTACAGGCACACACCACCATGCCTGGCTAATTTTGGTATTTTCAGTAGAGATGGTGTTGGTTGGGTTGGTCTCGAACTCCCCACCTTGTGATCCACCCACCTCGGCCTCCCAAAGTGCTGGGATTCTAGGTATGAACCACCACGCCCGGCCCTCCTCTCGCCACTCTTAAGGGGACCTTGTCTTTTCTTCCTATTGCCCTGTGCTGCCCAGCTTTGATTTCACTCCCCAGTTGCTCTACAATACTGGGCGCAGTTCTGGAAAGGCAACTTCCTAGAGTCCAGAGGGCTGGGACTTACTGGATCTGGACCTTTTTTTTTGGGCGGGGGGCCGGGGGGATAAGGTCTCTTTGTTGCCCAGGCTGGAGTGCAGTGGTGTAAATTATGGCTCACTGCAGCCTTGAACTCCTCAGCTCAAGGGACCATCTCAGTCTCCCGAGTAACTGGGACTGGAGGTACATACCACCACACCTAGCTAATTTTTAATTTTTTGTAGGTGTAAGGTCTTTGTTGTCCAGGTTGGTCTCAAAATCCTAGCCTTAAGTCATCATCCAGCCTTAGCTTCCAAAAGCACTGGGATTACAGATGGAGCCACCATGCCCAGCCAGGATGCCTGGATCTTGGCTCTCACCATTTTGGGATCAGTGATCTTGGACAAGTCCCTTGACCACCCCATGCCTATTTCCTCATCTACAAAATCATCAACCAAGTTAGCACATAAAGCACTCGGAACAGAGCCTGGCTCTTCATCCACCCTGTCTGACTGCAGGGGAGGTAAGAGTGCCTGAGGCCCAGCTTTCCTATCCAGTGTGGGATCTAGGGAATGTAACCAGTGCCGGGGGCTCCCCATCTGACCTGGCACGCCGGTTTAAGCCTCGGTTGTTTACTGGTCAGTGGCAAATCTTGTTTCACCCCAGCTGCAGGGATGGAACAGCAAGTAGGGACTTCACTGCCAAGCAAAGTTTTTTCCACTGCTCCCTTGGTGGGTTCTCTGCAGGGCAGAAACCTGGCCAGGAAACCAGATGGGAGAAGAGGAAGGGCTGGGGCTCTGAGCGGAGGTACAGACTGGGCTCTGAGGCCCCCCAGGGAAGATCTGAACTCTAGAAAGCCATGCAAGGTTGGAAGCGGGCTCTGGGAACAGCCTCCATTGGCTCATTGACTGATGACCCCCCCATACCCCCCACAGCTGAGGCCTCTCCACCATCTGCTGCCCCAGCTGGGCCCAGTCAGGGGGGCTGAGTGCCGCGCCCAGCTCAGCCCGGTGACTCAGCAAGTCATCCTCACGGCTGGACTCCTGCCTTGTTCTGAGGCCAAGCCCTCGCCAACTGCCCCTGCATCAGCACTGGGACCCCACCTCACCTCCCTGACCGCCCGCCTGCCATACCCCAAACCTGGGCCTTCTGCCTACACCACCTGCCAGGTTCAGCTAGGACAGGTCTTGCCTTCTACCGTCACCATCCATGGAGGTGAGCCAGGAAAACCCTTTGACTCAGCAGCACATTCCTGACAAGTCTCAGATTTAGGTTTTTGTAGTTTCCTTCCAGATGACATGCGCAGTTAGAGGATTTTACTTCCAATAGATCAGGGCCCTCTAAAGACAATGGCATGGATTGTGTTGACCTTTGAAAGGTTCTGCCCAGCCTTCAGGCTTGGCCCCAACTCCCCAAATCCACTCACCCACCCATCTCCCTTCAGTCCCTGCTTCTGAGGCCTGCCCTAGTTGAGTCTCAGTGTAGACGCCAGTCCTGCCTGATCACACCTCCCTCAGGTGTCGTGAGGCTCCTGCAAGAACCAGAACCAGCTTTCACCCAAAATCCCAGCAGCATCTCTCCCACCATGAGGCTAAATGGGCGGAGAACTAAAGAGCCTGTCCGAAGCAGAAACCTGGCTC